GCTATATTTGAACCCACGAGATTTGTTGCTACGTATTAGGTTGTCCGGAAAGTTCTCAGCGTTTTGAGTGTTTCACTTTAAACGATCATAACTTTCTTAATACTCATCGGATTTAATCGAAATAAGCACCGTTCGAATCAGCACACTTTTGCCAATGTGACCAGTCGACAAATCCCATCAAAGAAAAAACTGGGTGGTCGAGAATCCACGAAGGCTTTTTTGTCTGAAAATGTTTGAAAAGGTGATAGTCGGTTGGTGAAAGGTCTGGAGAATATGGCGGGTGAGGTAGAACTTCAACCCCCAATTCGTTCAATTTATGGATAGTGATTTGTGAAACGTGTGGGCGGGCGTTGTCATGCAAAAGAATCGGACCCTTTCTGTTGACAAGTGCTGGCTGCAGCTGACGCTGAAGGCTGAAATCTCCAGAACGAAATTTGTCGAACCATTGTCGCACGGTGCTTTCTCCAACACTATTGGGCCCCCACACCTGGTTAATTTGTCGAGCTGTCTCGACTGCGGATTGACCCAGTTGAAGAAAAATATCGTCCGAAGTTGCTCTTTTGACATGCTTTAAAAAGTCTTGGGAAAAGGGGGTTTATCAAGCAATGGTGAAACAATTATACCATCAGATAGCGCAAAGAATTCTCTTCAGGATGTACTACTGAGACGCAAGGGAGAATGAGTTTTTAATCAGCAATGAATGTACAAAAAATAGTAACACAAAACGCTGAGAACTTTCCGGACAACCTAATAGTTTGTTACGAGTACAGAATCCGGTTCCGATGCAGTTTGCAGTATTTTTGGGATTTTGAGTAATATATATCAAAAAGCAAAAAAGAATCGCAACCAGGACTGTTATGGGCCCACTATGATTGAGTGAAAATAAATTTGTACACTATTGCAGGAGCAACAGCCAAATGCCAAGCGAATATGATGAAATTCTACAGTTGGCTATGGTCTATAAACCAAACAAAACGGTATGTCTTCAAATGTACGCTTGTACAACTCACAACATAACAGCATGTTATAACCATTGCTGTTTTGAGATATGTGCCAGCGATCGGAGGAAAGAGGTTTTCTCACTTATTCATATGTTTCACGTGTTCTGCATGGAACTGCAGGAGCCGATAAATCTTGTAGATGCTTTGCAACTTCATACAGGTATGTTACGTTGGTGTTCCCTTGATAAATGTTATCGCGATTAAAGGCAGCGCCCGCGTTCATTTGTTGTTCTCACGCCCTCTCTGGACCTAGTAGCTCCCCCTATGAGGATGGTGGACGTGCATGTTTCGCAACCCAAAAATGCGACGGAACAGCGGCGTCCGCCCGCAAAGAGCCGACGGCTCCGCCCACCTGCCGACCACGCCACCCAACTTCATTTCTAATGGTTGCCTGATGGTGCGGTTGTTCCATTGCTGCTTCTCTCCACGTGGAGTGGTGAGAGTGAGGTGATAAGGGAAAACAGCTGATATGAACAAGTGGAAACTCGTGCAATCACTCCTTCTCTTCGCCTTAAGCACGTACAACCGTTGTTCGGTATGAAACTCCTTTTGCGTGTTTTCTCTTCGATTTTTCTTCACTAATAGGCTTCTTGCTACCTCGCTATTACTACCTGAGCCGCATACTCATTAAATTTGAACGCGGGCGCTGCCTTTAAGGGCTCATGGAGTCAATTAGAGAGGTGGTTCATTGTATAATATTTGGAGGGATAACATCAGGCGTCAATGGAGTTAGTAACGAGCTGGACTTAGGCAACTTGGGAATGCTGAACGTTCTGTCAAATATATAGTTCTAACAAATCGTGAAGTATCTGTTAAGAAAAGTGCAATGGTGCCGTGTTGGACCGTAGTGAACTGGGTTATGTAATGGCTGTTCTAATGGAATGGGCATACCAGTCACGAAGTGTTACGCCCGAATTAAAAAAGGTAAGGCTGAAAAACTTTTGCTCAAAGGCGCCGCCCACGCTAGTTGGACCCACGGATGAAGGTCTACCATTATATCACCCCCCTTTAATGCCCTTCTACTTTCAATGTCCAGGAACGCACCAAAGAGCAAATGGTGGCAGGTCCGACCACTTTGGAATTTGTTGAGGCTCACGTTATCAGCGTGGAATGCGCCTTCGAAACGATGTAAATAAAACGAGTGCTCGAAACTAAGGCTTTCAACAAAATTCGTCGTCAAAGTGAAGTATTAGGTTGTCCGGAAAGTTCTCAGCGTTTTGGGTGTTTCACTTTAAACGATCGTAACTTTTTTAATACTCATCGGATTCACCATTCGAATCAGCACACTTTTGCCAATAGGAAGTGCTCTTTTCACATGCTTGAAAAAATCTTGAAAAAAGGGGGTTTATCAAGCAATGGTGAAACGGCAATTATACCATCAGATAGCGCAAGAAATTCTCTACAGGATGTGCTACTGAGAAGCAAG